TTACTGTTTCTCAGACCTTTCGTTAATTTTGTGTTGGAGACTGACACAATTTTCACAGAAGAATTCAACTGGCTGCAAGTTATGAACATTTCAGGTGGGGTTGCAACAACCAAAAGAGAAGCGTATCTGTAACACGGACAATTGCGTGGCTACTGTTGAGTTTCTAGTCACTGCAGTTATACCTAGATCCGCTCTCTGAATGCTGCACAGTTTCATAACTTGTAGTCCATGGAGAGTGGACAACAAAACCTCACTTGTTTGAACACAGACTGTGTAAACTGTGTAAATGTGCCTAACTGTTTGCAGGAATATACCAATGTGTGAGTGCAGTGTATTAGCAGGGGTGACCTTCTGAAGCTGTTGTAGTGCCATGGTTTGCTATGGAACCGCTTGCATTATTTGCTCAACAATGTATACCTTTGTCTGGGAAAGCAGCAGTGGTTGCACTTTGTGAAAAGGCATAGTGTGAACCTGTCAAATTACTGGTCTTAAAGAACAGAGAAGGCAGGGCCTCATGCAGAGGGGCTAGTTCTTTCTTCTGAAAATAAAGGCTGGAGTTCGAGAAATCTCTTCCCAGTCTCTTCTTCCATCTCTCACTGCAGAATTAAACTGTGTGCATTTGGGGGAAAAAACCCAACAGTTACTTTGGAAGGTAGTCACCAGAAGAAATTGGTCTCCATTAGTGCTGTCCCTGAACATGTCCTTGGTTCTGTAAACTCAGACCTTCTGACTCTGGAAGGTGAAAAACTGGCCAAGTGCTGTACACATTTAAGCTTTTGAGAAAATGTATGTATTTCAGAAAAATGCAGGAGCGTAACGTAAAGCAGCTCCAAACTGTTCTACTCCAGCCTCCTCAGTGCAGACGGGCTTGGCGTGTGTTGAAAAGTTTTCTGCTTTATTATTATTGTACGAAAGTCTGTATTTGAATTATGCTCTGTGCCTAGTGATGCTTTGTGGGGTTTGGATGTGTCTCGTAAACTGTCTGGGTTTAAACAAATTGCTCAAGTATCTGTACGGTTTTCTGTAAATGGTAATGGAAGGGGTCTCGTAGATGTCGATCTGGATTGTGTTGCTGTTGTGTCTATAAAACAACCATTTAATAAACTGTTGAAACTAGTGGGTTGCTTTTGCAAATGAATGCATAGAAAATCAAAGCCATGAGGGGCTGGTCTGAATGATGGGTGCCTGGAGCTCCGTATCCTTTACATCCCTCCCTTAGACCCTGCTGGTGTCTGGACTAGTGTGTAATGAGAGCGTTTGAACAAACGCCACTCACAAAAAATCAGCTGGCTTCGATAATCTGAAGACCTAGTTCTGCACAAGGTTTCTATTACAATTTCTGTGTTAGAAGGACACAGCAAACAGGAGAAGACTTGCAGGTTGTGCTGAACTGTAGTTAAATCACCTAACGTGAAGAAGTGAGTAGGCAGGAGACATGCAGTTTGGGCTGCCTACTGCGCACGATGGTCCAATTTCTACTGAAAAGAATCTTTTGTCTTGCTGAGGAGTTATAAAAAGCTTGATTCCCCTTAATGCTTCTGGGTCTGAAGCTGAAGTTCAGTGAGCAAAAGCAACTTCCCCGACTCTTAAGCTGTACGTCCTTTTAATGCTGCAAAATGTAAACACTGATACTTGCATACATCTCTCTCAATCAAATGTACAGCGGAGATTTTCTCCTTAAATGTCATTTTAAGTGTGGGTCTTAAGATGAGCTATGTCTGCATTGCTTTTCTTAACAGGACAGTAGTTTTGAGTCTGTTTGCAGACATAAAAAGAGCACAGGAGTTCCCAGGCACTTCACGGTGGAGGTGGAAGACCCCCACACAAAGGGTGCAATGCGGACACAGACTGGAAGACGTGCGATACCAATTATTAATGCGTAAGTATGGAATTAGCCAAAAAGTGATTCTGACCAAAAAGTGAAGGAGAGAAGCCGCACGTCACTGTCTGAGTGGCAACGCCACCGAGCTGGCCAGCACCTGTAATTACGGGGGGAGAAGCACTGTCATTGTATCTTAACCTTAAAATCGGTGATGGTTTCTAATATTAGAATAGGGCAGTCCTGCTGTTCACGCCCCTGAACGTTGGTTAAGCTTGTGGTATGCCAAGAATCCCTATTTCTGCAAAACGTTTCGGTCGCGTTTACAGTGGGGTCATTCTTTTTGAAAGCTCCTTTTGCTTCTGTTTTATCTTTCTAAGGCTTCTTGCGAAACGGAACAAATAGCTGTTGGACTGAGATTGTCTCCCCCTCTGCATCTATCAGATCCCATCTGTGAAGCAGAGGGATGTTTTCCTGTTGCTGTACACTAAGAAAGTCCTGCTCTGTGCTGACAGGAGTGGCTGTTTTAAAATGCACGTGGGAGCCCCTCTGTTTTTCTGTCATGGATCTCCTTTTGCAGAAGCTCTAACACAGATTTCTTCCGTTTATAAAACATAATTAGGCGGAGACTGACTTTATCCTGTGCCTGCGATGTACATTTACCCTCTGGCAAAGGAGAGGTGGCATTCATTTCACCCGGTTTCTAGCTGTCAGAAAATGATTTCTCTAGTCTGAGCTAACTTCTTAGCTGATCCAATGAAGGGAAGAGTTCTGCAGAAGGAAAATGGTTCCCCCCTCCCTTTCCTAGTGCTCCGGCTATAGAAAAGGAGTTTAAAACAAATGCCTACTTTTCTGAAGGCTAATGTGGGGTGAGAATGCCACCTACTGTCTTCATTGGATAGAAGCCAAAGCTTGGGAAACTTTTCCTTTACCCACCTTTAACTTTCTTCCTTTTCCCTTCCCCATTCCCCCCTCCAGGGAAGCTTATGCCAGAGGAAAGGAGGAGAAGCCTCCCTTTTTACCAAAGGAGCCGTCCTCTTCCTCCCTCTCCTCCTCCTCATACCATCCTATTCCAGAAGAGCTGTTATGTTTAATTTGTAAAGAAGTCATGGCCGATGCAGTAGTTATTCCCTGCTGTGGATACAGTTATTGTGACCAATGTAAGTGTTATCCCATCTTTACTAATTCAAGACATCACACCTGCTCTTCTGACAGCAGAAAGAGGAGATCATAAATAATACTTAAGCGTACCCAGGATAGGAAAGGACTCTTCTTGTAGAACGGAAAAAATAAAGCCAGAAGGCTTTTTTCCCTTCTTATGCATCTAGTTAAATCTTCTCTACATGCGGAAGGACGAGTACGAGAAGAGTGCGTAACGGTGCAGCTGATTACAGTATTCGTTATCAAATGCATTTAGTTTGTCCACAGTCCTTTCTCTCATACAAAACTACAGAGCCAGTGCTGGTGACTAACTGTGGCCTGCAGCAAATGGCTCGTTAGGCATTTAATCCAGATTCTTCTCCACGGGAGAGTTGCTTAAAACCATCGGAACTTGAACCTACTAATGGCTCTTGGAGATGTGTCTTATTCATTAACCTTGAGGTTGGTGACTTCTCACTGTGCTGGACAGTGGAGAACAGACTAGTCAAAACATCCAGACACGGCCTACTCTACATCTCCAAATGTTACAATAGGGAAATATCAACACTGGGCAGCTATTTCCTGCATACTAGAAATTTTTTACTACAACGTACATGCTGAACGTTGCATGCTCTCAGCTCTCAACTTCATGCTCTCAGTTCAGGACCGTATTCACCCATTAACCATCTACAGGCTTTTATAACTGATTAGAACCCCAGAAATTTCCTTAGTTTAGCTAAAACCTGTTTTGATGATTCTGATTATACCCAGGTGTTAGAAGAGCATTACTGCACTCCGAGGAACATGCGTGCCCAGCGTGTCATGAGGCAGATGTTTCTCCTGATAGTTTAATTGCCAACAAGTGCCTACGCCAGGTAATGCGGTGACTTTTACATAAATTGTTTGTAAGAAAAGACTAGTCAGTCAATTAGCTGAAAGGGAAGGAAATATTAATTTACATCTCCTTAAACAAGGCTAAATGGAAGCTGACAACTCTTGAGAGACAGTCTGGCCAATTCAGCTCACACTTGTGTTTAACAGGATTGACTCAGTTTCAGATTCAGTGTTAACACTGGAGTGCTTTACATACAGATAGTCTGAGTTACCAATCCTTAACACCAGTGTGTAATGGGATGCGTTTGTGTATATCACAGAAGGGTTTGGCTTGGAAGGGACCTTAATGACCATCCAGTCCCACCGCCCTGCCCCAGGCAGGGACACCTTCCACTAGCCCAGGTTGCCCAAAGCCCCATCCAACCTGGCCTTGAGCCCTTCCAGGGAGGGGGCAGCCACAGCTGCTCTGGGCAGCCTGTGCCAGGGCCTCCCCACCCTCACAGGGAAGAATTTCTGCCTTAGATCTCATCTGAATATATCCGTACGTTGGTTTATTTTAGGATGGATAGTATATAGGGGAATACACCAGTAATTTTACTCTGTGGGGGCTTTTGTTCATCGAGCTATGAAGGTTCATGTTACCTCTTTGTAAATGTTTTTCTGTCTCTAGGCTGTGAACAACTTCAAAAATGCCACTGGTTACACACAGAGGCAGCAGAGACAGCAGCAGCAGCAGCCACCAGCACCTCCACAAGCACCCATGGCTCTGACCCCTCCTGCTGCGCTGGTGGCTGCCACGCAACGCCCTCGATCTTCCCCCCTGTCGAACCGTGGTTTGCGGGAAGAGAAGGTATTTTTTCTCTCACTGTATGTAGTGATTCTTGTGTCTTAGTAGAGCTTATTTTACAACTGTTTGCGCCAATTCACAAGGGCTACCAGGTGCCTGGAGCGAGACAGCCAGCAATACCAAGGGTTCTGGGCCCCCAAGGACCATCGATACCCACAAATGGTAAGTAACCGTAACTTAGAAATTTCTCTTCAGAAACTATCTTCAGGTAAACTGAAAGGGATTTCTTTTTCTCTCCCCATGCCAAAAGGTCATCCAGTGAGAGCCGGCAAAATTCGCTTGGCAAGTGGCAGACCAGACTGGGAAGTGTAAGTATGCTACAGAAATTCAATATATTGCTGCTTGTAACCTGTTAAACGAGGCTGTAACACATAACAGACACAACAGCTGATTTATAAGGGAATAAGTGTGTGCAGATCGTTGTGGAGAATGCATGTGGTAATTAATTATTAAATGGTTTTATTTGAATTGGCCTTCACAAAGGGGATCCCTGCTCTCAGGAAGATTATTTAAAATAAAACTCCAGTACAGGACTGAAAAGAGGACTCTGGAGAATGAAGTCTTTCTGAGGAAATCATAATTACATCTATAACTATTGGCAAACTGACTATAAGAAGGGGAGACAGGGATTTGTTGGGGATGAGGATGTGGAAGCCAAGTATGAGGACCAAGAAATGAGCGTAGTCTCAGATGAACAAAAAGCGGGCAGAAAAATGCTGAAGTTGAGCACAAGAAGTGCTTGCCACCACGCTCCTCCTCCATTCACTTTCCTCTAAAATCAGGGAAGAGTGTAACAAACAGTGACTCGTGGTTTGGGGTTTCTTTAGAAGCTCAAATCGAGGACGCCCGCGCAGTGAACGTACCCAGAGGACTCAGGCCCCAGCACTACCAGCACCACCACCTCTCTCTGTGCCTGTGCCTCCACCTCCCTTGTATCCCCCACCATCCCCTGCACGTCCTCTTCCCCTGGGCGTACCACCACAACTGTTTCCCCCTCAGTTCCCACCTGGGCAGCCTCCATCTGCTGGGTGCACTCTCCCTCCTCCAGGATATCCCCCAGCTCCTGCAGACACGTCACCAGCTTGAGGACCAGCAGCAGTTCCAGTGGCTCATTCACATGCCACCCCAATGACACAGGCACCTCCTTTGGCGAGTCGTAGACTCACTGAGGTTGGAATAAAACCCTGAAGATCATCAAGTCCAACCGTTAACCCAACACTGCCAAGTCCACCACTAAACCATGTTGCTCAGTGCCACATCTACCTGTGGATGGTGACTCAACCACATCCTTGGACAGCCTGTTCCAATGCTTGACAACCCTACCAGTGCAGAAATGTTCCCCAAGAGCTGATCTAACCCTCCCCTGGTGCAACTGGAGGCCGTTACTGCTCCTGTTGCTTGTTACATGGGAAAAGAGACCAACACCCACCTTGCCACAACGTCCTTTCGGATAGTTGTGGAGAGCGATGAGGTCTCCCCGCAGCCTCCCTCTCTCCAGGCTAACCCCCCCAGTTCCCTCAGTTGCTCCGCACAGGACTTGTTCTCTAGACCCTTCACCACCTTCTTTGCCCTTCTCTGGAGGCATTCCAGCCCCTCAGGGTCTGTCTGGTAGTGAGGGGCCCAAAACTGAACACGGTATTTGAGGAGCGGCCTCACCAGAGCCGAGGACAGGGGGACCGTCGCTCCCCTGGTCCCGATGCCATTTCTGACACAAGCAGGGTGCCTTTGGCCTCCCTTATCTAGGGAGCAGTTTGACAGAGAGCAACGAGACTTAAAGAAGAGTGGGGGGGTTGGCTCAGTGAAGTTGGGCTGTTTTGCACATTTGTGTTTCGATGGCCTGTCGGATGGCAGTTACACTCGAGTGCATCTGACGTCAGCAAAAATGACAGAGTGTTTTCTCTAGTCGGATTTCTGGGTGCAGATGGTAAACATGCAAAACTAAAACAAGACAAATGTCATCCTAAAACTTTCCCTAAGACTTGTAGGAAGAATTCTAAACTGGTTTTGCTTAAGTAGTACGTCCACCTTTGCATCTGCGAGCAGTATGCATTTTCTCATACTGGCCATGTTTTGTTTCTTGGTCTCTTTTTGTAATAAGGGTAAAGCTGTCATTGTAATAATGGTCAAACTTGTTTTAACAGGCAAAAGAAGAAGTCCAGACTCGATGGGTTTACAGATGGTTCAGGAACCAATGGAATATAGAAAGCCTCCAAAGGAGCGTTCGTTTTCCAGGTAACTGCTTTACATGTCCGTAACAGAGGAGCAGGCTGGCTAGAGGAATCAGGGGGATCTCCACTGCCCCTCTCCAGGTGGATGGGATGATTCCAGGGATTAGCAGGGAAAGGAGTTCCATATGCAGGTTACTACCTCAGCTACGGCAGAGATTACAGTTGACTGAGAGGTACAGTTTGGCAGCAGTGGCTGAGGAGCAGGTGTCTCTTTCACTAAAGCTTCTCTGCAGTGACACCTTCACCTCCTGACAGCCCTGAGGAGGCCAGAACCTGAAGAGGTCTAGTGCCCGGATTTTCTGCCTCTCCCTGTTCTGAGTGTAACCGTTACCTCAAAGCACTTGGGAGGAGAGATGGGAGACAAATTGCCTTCATCTCTTGTTTATCTCCTGTGGGTACACGGGGAGATTTTAACGTGGACTGCACACTGGTGGCTTTCCGAGGAATTTCTGGACACTGATCAATTTTTCTTAGGAACTCAAAGATCAGACTTGTTTGTAAGGAAATCTTAAATGGCTGAAGGACTCTGAGAGGGGGAATGATGCTAATGAACATATGCAGAATAATGTGAAATGGTTCTTGAAAAAATAATGAAAGAAAAACTTGTGAAGAAAAAACTCGGGGTCGCTGATATTTTCTGCCCCCAGAATTCACCTGGGCAGGAGTCTGAAGAGCTCTCTCCTAGTAATGCTGTCAGCATCTCTCAGAGAGTAACGGCGTTGAGTCCTAAAACTAGAGGCTGACTTCAGAAGCTTTTAGAAATTAATTTTCCTGCAGTGCAGCCGCTACCCTTGGCTAGAGCCAGAGGTATGTGAAAGCTCTGCTAGGACCTCTGGGCTAGAAGTGTGGGTTAAATGGGCCTGTATGTATGACTGCAGTACCAGTATTTGGCATCCTGTACAAACTGCCGAATAAGTGGTGACATGGTGGCCCATGTGGTAGAAGCCCGTGGAAATAAGAGGGTCCCTTCCTGTGTGTTTTTGCACTAACAAAGCGGCGGCTGTCCCATCTTGTCAGCAGAAACTTTGCCATGTTGGCAAGTTCTTCAGTTTGCAGTAGTAAAATGTGAGCAGCTGAAAGAACCTTTGACATAAGCATATGCAGAGTCAAAACCCAAAACAAAGCGGGAGGAAATAAATGGCAAGAGTGACTGCTTAGAGTTAACTTTATTTTTTTTTGTGTGTTGTGTTTTCTTTTAGGGCCCAAGGCTCCACCTACAAGTTCATGCACCTAGTGCGAAGGAAGATCACGTTCTTCCTGCCCCTGCTCCCGACTTTGACAGAGCTGTTGAATTCTAACTTAATTGAGCTTATAATGATTTTTGTTTTAGTAATACACTTCAGTAATATGTTTATTGAATCTAAAAAGCATTAAGGCATGATTTCAAACAATAAACAACATAGGATGGAGAGAAACCTGGCTTGGTGTGTTGAATATTATTAAATTTTGTATATGTATATGCATTAATGTATATGTGAAAATGTATATGTAATAATGCATTTGTATATGTTTATGTAATAATGGGTATTATTACATTATTGCATATTATATTATATGTGAGGTGTGTTATGTATTATTACAAGCCGTGTCAGGTCACTGGAAATGAACTTGGTTGGTCGATAGATTGTGTGCGTCAGAAGGCTCATGAAATTAAAGAGAAGAAAAACGCAGGGAAGGTAAAAAGATGCAATGATTATTAAAGACATACACCGAAGAAAACATGCCACAGGTTAGTTGCAGGAGTGTTTGGTGAGGAAAGAGCAGCAGGTTGATGACAAACTCGGGGTGCAGTAGATTCCCTCTCCTCCTCCAGCTCCAAAGTGAGCTCTTTATCACCCAAAGGGAGCTCTTCATCAATTCATCATGACATTACTGCCACACAGCTTTGTAGAAGGAAGAATTGGGAGGGAACAGTGAATGAGGGTGCTTTTTTTTGGTGGGGGGATGGCAGGCAGAGGGTTGGTGCTGAAGAGAAGAGCTGCTTTTCTCTAGCAGTCTTGCCCCCTTGGAACCACCAACACCCCCCAAGCCCCTCAGAATCCCTGGGGATGCCCAGAAAACCCTTGAGGCCCCCCAAAATAGTGGGGAACACCTCAAGTTCCCCCTAGAATACCCCTCAACCCCCTGGGACCCCTGAGCCCCTCTGGGACCAACAAAACCTCCCCAGCACCCCCCTCAAAATTGGGAGGACCCCGCCTTAACCCCACCAACACCTTCAGTTCCCCACCCCCTCTGTTCCCTACAGGGACCTGGGCAAGGTCCCAGTGATGTCACCCCTCCTTCTGCACCCCCAGTTCCCTACTGGGACCCCCAAACCCCTCCTCCACATCCCTACTGTCCCCTGCAGGAGCCTGGGGGGTCCCAGCACTGTCACCCCCCACACCACCCAGTTGCCCCACACACTGTGTCCCCGCTCTCCCCACCACCCACTGCAGGGTTTTTTGGGGGTTCCCATCAATGCCACACCCCTGTCCCTGCACCCCCAAACTCTCGAGGACACCTGGGAGGGGGGGGCATCCCAATGCCCCCCACAACCACTCCCCTCAAGTTTGGGGAGCCTCTTGCCACCCATGTCCCCCCCACCCCCAGGAAGGGGACCACACCGGGCTGACAAGAAAAGTCACCAACGGCCTCCACTGGTACCTCAACAGCACTGACAGGATGGGGGACACAAGGACACCCTGGCGGAGCCAGGCGGACACACCCCACACACCCCTCAGCTACTGAGCACCAAGATTTGCTCAGCTAAGATGTGCCAAGCACTCCATAAAAAAAATCACCTCTAGTTTGGTGGGGGGTTTGTTTGTTTGTTTGTTTGTTTGTTTTTCCACAGGATGAATAATCCTTTCTATCAGGATGCAATCAGAAACCCAAGTCAAATTTGGCTGGGACAGCCTTTCCTCTGATCAGGAACTGGAAATCTCAGCTCAGCCACTCACAAGTTTCTTGCTCGCAGGGAGACTGCTTATAACAGCGCAGCAGATCAGACACAACAAGCAGCCACGGCAAACATCAGGGAAAATCAGAGCTGCTGCCTGCCAGCAGAGCATTTTAGTTGTGGGAGCAGAGCAAAGAATCCTCCTTTCACTGACCCCTTGAAAGTCTGCAACTGCTTTCCATCCCTTATCTCCACCCAGACTGAGAAGGCTGAAGGGGTTCAGTTCTCCTGGAGTCAGGGCCAAATAACGGGCGCTTGTCACCGCACATCTGCACTTAGGACTTGTCCACATCTGCCTGACACAACCACTGCAACACCACAGCGCAACACCAAAGTCTGTCCTAACACTTGATAACCACACCTAGAGGGCACAGCTCAGGAAACAGCCGGGCCAGACCTGAAACAGAGATCTGCCCAGGGCAGGGGGGAGAACGGGGAGGAAGATGCCGTGCTGGAAGCACTGGGTGCCTGAAGCTAACAGCAGCACGGGTGCAATCTGGACAAAAAGCTCTGCCTGCTGCGTTCCCATGGAGTAATTAGCGGGAGGTTTCGCTTTCTGTATGTGTAAGGTTGTCCTGTACCTTGCTAGAGGGGGGTGTCTCGTGCAGATGGGCAGTAGGGGACGTCCCAATTCACTCAGCCCTGGCAAATCAAAGCTGTGTCCTAATGACAGAAAGCAGAGCTGAGCTGAGAGATGGGACCACTGTGAAAGCCACTGCCTGACGGCCAGGACAGAAGAGCAGAGTTCTCCAGCCTCCATCAGAAGGGGCCACTCCCAAAGTGCCTCCTGCCCTCTGGTCAGTAAAGCCGTCACTTACAGAACGGCGACATCTGTGAGAAAGGGTCCGAAACCTCCACTACGAACAGCAGACGAGCCCCAGATGTCTTCAGCATGGGGTTGGCCGCATGATTCACAGCCAGGGCATCAGCTAAACGCAGTTTAACTCATTTGCCTGCTTAACCTAGAGCACTTTGAAATCCCCATACACTGATCCAAGTATTTTAACCCCTGAGACTCTAAGATGCTAAACACTGGCTAAGAAAAAAATTTTGAACACACAAATTGAATTTCCTTCAGTTTTTCAGTAACTGTGAATGAACTCCTCATCCATCCTGACTACCAGCTCTTGCATATGACACCTGCTTAAAATACTGAGCTGAATCAGCAGATCCTGCCCTGAACACTGTGCATCATACAGCCCCAGTCTGCCTGGGCCAGAAGCAAACACAAACAGGTCAAAGAATAAACTGACATAAACTGCTGGATTTGGAGGCCTGCTATCCACCCCCCACCCCCCCCAAGAGACACATCCGAAGACACCTGGGCTAAAGGACTGTTCCTTCAAGTACAAGAGGTCATAGAGTAAACCCTCTTCTTTTCTCTGGGATTTGTTCACCAGAGAGCTCCCCACCAGCCCCTGGACAGAAGAGCACACATCCTTATTAAAGGCCACACATAAAAGCCCAAAGCAACAAGGTGGCATCTGGCAAGTGACAAAGATACAGCAGCTTTTGGTAACAGTTCCTTGAAGGGAAAGCCAGAGTGTAGAGGCATCCCCGCTGGAAGGCTCTTACAGAGGAGAGTGTTAAATAGCGTCAACTGGCAGGTTTAAGCACTGTCTGGGAAATGTCAAACACTGTCAAGGTACCACAGAGCTCTCTGCAGACAAGCCCCAGCGACGGACTCCTGTGGGCTCATCTCTGAGAACACACACTGATGGGCCACCAGTCCTGTCCACAGAAAACACATTATCAGCAGCTGGTGGAGAGAGTACAGCGCCCTCAATACTACCAAACCAGCCAGGTCAGCCCACCCAGACACCCAGCATCTCCCCGCAGCACCTGCAACCACATCTGCAGCCCAGCCCTGCTGTCAGGGGTCTTCTTGGACTGGTCGGCTCAGCGCTCCCAGCCTTCCAAACCCCGGCCTTCTGGGAGCTGCCCAGTCCAGGGAAGAAAAAGATGAAGACACCCTTTAACTGTTTCTGGAGAGTTCCAGGAATTCTCCCACCTCAGGGAAAAGGAAGTGGAACAAAAATTGTGGTTCAGTTTTTCCAAAGCAAAATAAAAGCCAACCACTGTAGCAGAGACACAGCTGTCACAGCAGTAGAGATCTTCAAAGCCCCAAAATAGTCTTGCCTCTGGCTTCCAGCTGCATGGGATTGCTTTACAGCACCTTACACAAAACCCACAATAAAATACCTCTGACATGTTATCAAAGAAACAGCATTAAGATTGTCCACAGGATTAGGCACTGGCTTCTAAACCCCCTGTTCTTTGGTACCTTCTGCAAACCACCAGCTCCGATGCAGCCCGCATTTGCTTTTCTCAAAGGGTAACAAAAGCAGCTTCAGCAAGATCAGAGTTAGACCACAACATCTGCTTCCTTTAGAGACCAAGCCCTGCTGTCTCTGCCCAGCTCAGATCCCTCAACAGCCGCTGGGCCTCCAGGAACTGAACAGCTCGACTCTGGCCAGGGGACGAGGCAAAGCCTGGGGATGAAGGCCAGCTGTGAAGCACTTTGACAGAGAAGAGGGGGGAGAGAAAATGTGGGGCAATAGAGCTTCCAAAGGAGATTATAGAATCAGGCCTTCATGAACTACCCATTTTTGTATCTGTACAGATGCTACTGTACTTGGAATGGCAGGACACTAAAATCCATTGCCCAGGGAGAAGCGAGAAGCTTGGGAGAGGAGCACAGAGCACAGCACCGTCAATGCTTTAACAGCCAGCAGAGCACACCTCCTCCCGGGGGCAGGGGGGGGGGCAGCTCTCACTGCCACACTGCTGCCCAGGGAGGACAGGGGAGCAGAGTCTGGACAGCTGCAGAAAGTTCATGACACTTCTCAAAGGGGAAAAAAGAGAATGAGAAAATAACCAAGAGCTTTTTACCAGGCCGTCTGTGACAAGCGCCATCAAAACGTGAGAGTCGGTGATGGACAGCTGGGGAGAACAGTCAGGATTCGACAAAACAGTTCAGG